ACGGTCGCCATCGTGCCTTCACCTCCCCAGTCGTTGTGCTGCTAGCACCCGTCCGACGTACACCCCAGTAGCTCCACTCGTCGTTGCTGAAAACATTGAATAAAATTGCTTTTCATAATCAAGTACATAGAAAATTGGTCAAATAAATCAATTCAACCTTCGTTTCATGTTTCCTTGGTCGACCTGGTATATGTCGTAAGAGAAAGTGCCAAAGGCGGTGTGGAAAATGGCGAAGGCGCTTGGACCGGTGTTAGGGATGCGACGAGCGAACCAGACCGGAGCGAACCCACCAGGTGGTGGACCTTCCTAGAGAACTGGCTTGTCCTTCACGCTCTCCATCCCTACTTTATTGCTTTAGAAGTGCTCTAGAATTCCACCAAGGATAGTGCCGAACGATGGGTAAAATTGGTTTTGGGAATTTTGGAGTTGCTTTTGTCTTCTTTTTTTCTCGTAAGCTAGAAATTTTAACTTTTCAAAAAAGTCAAATTTTGGCTTTTTTGTTAACTTCTCCTTTTAAGAAAAGCTCACATTCCAAATAACTTAAAATTTTAAAAGCACTTTCTTTTCAAAAAAAAGCAACTTTTAAGATGGCAGAAACCCGTTCAAACAAGCACTTATTTGAAAAGGAGATTTGATAACATTGATGACTTGGTTGGCACGAATCATTTGGATTTCAATCGGGGAATATTAGGTATTGCTCCCTTTAACTCAATAATATTAAACCCGAACCGATATATCGGGCAAATAAATTATTGATTTAAGGGTTTTTTTTTTGTCAAGTTATAGGAAAAAGGAGGAGACTCATGTTGAGACAAGATTTTGGGATTCGGATCCTCTCATGTGAAAATCAATATGACATGGTCAAGTGAGAAATTATAATCATACAAAGGTAGATCAATAATAATAAAGGGAAAAAAATATTGAAATAGTTAATTACAAAATTATAAACATTGATTCACTTTTGTATGATTGTGATCTTCTCATATAACCATGTCATATTTTTTCACATAAAATGATCCATTTTCTGATAAAATCATTTTCATGCAACATAACATTTATAAAACCCAGTAATATAAATATAAATAAGAGTAACTTGACAATTAAATAATATAGTTTAGTGGTTAACATTCGACTTACCTTCCCTTAGAGGGCGTTTGGTATAGGAGATATTTTTTTTCTAGAAAAAAAAATGAGATTATGGTGGGAAATTATTTAGCCGAGGAAAGTAACGAAAAGTTGTTTAGTAGGCCAAAATTTTACCGAAAAAATTTGATTAATTTTGTTGTAGTTTGGTTGAATGTAAAATATTGATGGGAATATTAATAGAAATTACCAATTTACCCATAATTTTTTAATATTGTAGCTCTTACATCAAACGTTCGGTTTAGCTATGCTTTGTGTCCCTATCTACAGGGACGATTGTTTCTTTCCGAAGATCAAACGTTGATTTGTGTGTTTTAATTCTTTTGTTGTTTCCGTGATGATATAATCTGACATGTATGGCTCTTGTGCAATAATGAAGCAGACTCTTCAGGCACCAGTCAAAGGAAGGTGCATTTTGGTCTCATATCATTAAAACCAGATTCCGGTTTCATGGTAAAAAAGAATACCATGTGTATTGTGGGATAATTTTTTAGTTTTTTTTTTTAGTACACAAAAGTTCTGGCAGGGGAGACACCGGTATGTATAACCCACCAGGGCCAGGGAAGACCTGTTCTACCTCTATGAGGATTTACGCTAGGGACAACGGAAAGAAAGTCTGCTTTACAGTTTACCCACCAACATGAGCCTAAAGCAACCAGAGGGAATCGAACCCACGCCCTTTTGGGGTATGGGTCAACTCCTTAGCCACCTGTGCCACCGCATGTTGGCAGATAATTTTTTAGTTGTGTTTAGTACAAAATTAAAATAATGGATAATTTTCTTTGCTGAGCTTTTTTTAGGATTCTTTATACCAAACATGGTTAAAAAATATTTTCCACCCACTTTCCCATTATTTCAGACAAAATGTTCATACCAAATATCCCTATTAAAGGTCAGGTTTAAATCCCAATAATGTAATTGTAATGAAATATCTTAACTTTATTGCTTTAAACCACACCCACGTGGCTTCATAACAGAGCCAACATCCTTTCTTTTTTCTGTTAACACAGTGACTACTCACTGGGGTTGGTGGAAGTTTTCAATTGGGGTGTACAAAATAACCAAAAAATTGAACCGAACCGTGAACCGAACCGAACCGCCCTTAAAATAACCAGTTTTAAAAATCAGTTCATAAATCGAACCAGTTTTTAAAGAACCAGTTCATGAACCGAACCGGTTTTTAGAACCAGTTTAAGAACTGAACCATTTTGAACCAAACCGTTTTCAAACCGAACCAAATTGATTTTTATAACTTTATTTTTTAATTTTTTTAATTTTTTTCTTTTCAAAAGAGGGTCGACCCGAACCAGTTCCAAACCGAACCGAACCACTTCCGAACTGAACCATTTAAATCAATTCAGTTCGATTTTTCAAAAAATCTGATTCGGTTCAACCTACGAACCTCCCTAGTTTTCAATGCCATTTTGGTACATTACTTCACTATTGTTGGGTACTTCCGTGCCCCTCTGCAGGTCCTTAATGGTTCCCCATGCTGAGCTGATTGGTTTTTCGTTTTCTCTTTTTTGGTCAAACTGAAGTGAGCTACATCAATTTGACAAAGTTCAACTCTCTTACTCGGGCCTTAAACCCAACAGAGTTCCCACAAATTGACACCATTGTATGACCCTCTTTCTTCTAATTATTGGGCTTTTGGGCCGTTCTACAAGAAAGCCAGCTTTTTATTTTTTAAATTAAGCCAACTGTTATTTTGCTCTCAACCATTCTCATTCTCATCATAACTTAAATTTCACATATCCTGAATACCAAAAAAAAAAATATATATTCACATATCCTCATTTCTTTTGTTGTCTACTTTGCCAATCACTAATATATTTTTTTGCGTACACCAAGTCGTTACCTTTTTCAAGTCAAATGAGCTTTGTAAGGAATTTATGTCATGTATTTAAAGCATTAATATTATCATATTGGTAAACTTATATACCATAACCGAAAATTTGATGAAATTGTTGTTTTCCCATTGGAATTTGAGAGAGATTTATATTTGAGCTGAAAAGAATCCCGATGAAAATGGTAAGCTCTAAGTTTTATACGAATTTCTCTTTTTAAATAAAAATCATGTAACTCATATGCGACTATAGCATCATTGTGCTAACCATGCAAACCGAAGGTTGCATCAATTGAGACTTCAGAGCATTTACATGTGTGATCAGATATGATTGATTTACGCGAGTTTATGGACATTTGATAATACCATTAAATATAGCATTTATATTATTGAATGAAAAATGGGAAGATACAGATTCATTATACATTTATTTACTTTTTAACTTTCTATATACTGAGAAGAAAAAAATAATGGCAACCAATGAACCCTTTTAATACTCAATATTATGTAATGAAAATTTGATACTTGTATTAAGGGTCATTACTTTTTCTTATTAAAGACATGCCATGTGCGTACGCAAACTTGATACCAACCACTTCAATAAGATTTCTTTTTTGGTCATGATATATTCTTCTTCTTCTTTTGGATCAAACGGTCATGATATATTGTGGTGGTATTTGTTAATAGTGCCAAACCAGTATTTGCAAGAAGAAGAAAACGAAAAGATGTTGTATATTCATTAGCTCTATATCTGTATACAAAGGGAATGGTGAGATATATACATGTAGCTGAAGATGGCAGTAGCCATTCTGTTATAACAAACCAGCTGACGTGACTACTAAGCAGAACAGAATGGGTGAACGTGGTCACTAACCAAAAGAGAAAATAAAAAAATACAAAGAATAAAAATGACATATTGTAATAGTATTGAATGTTGCTTGGCGTTATTATTTCTTTTGATTTTTTCCATGTATTGATATCAATGAAGTGATTGATACATTACATAAAATGAAATAAAGAAAAGTAATTAAAGGTAATAAAGTTCTTAAAAATTTCAAAAATGAAGAAAAAAAAGGAGAAAATTCAAGCTATGAAGCAAACTCCTGTCAGTAGTGCCACCTATTTCTCGATAATAGGCGTGACCCATGGGTCGGGACCTACATTGCGATTGACACTCCTGACACGTGTTACTATCCAACTTGTCCAAGGAAAACGGTAACGTTAAACGATTATTAATAATACTATATTCAATATTTTTATTTTTTTAATATTCGCTCTGTCTGGCTTTTGTTGATCATGAAAGTGGATTTTGCGGTCAAACATGTCTTTCGGACAAACCTTATCAATTACAAGTGTTTTTTTAATTAAATTTATTATCATTTAATAACATTTCCTTTTTATTAAAAACATATAATTATATCACTTAAAAGGTTTGACTTCTAAATTAGTTGTTATTATAGTTAAAATATTCTAATAATATAATAATACATTATTTCATGATATTTTATATTAATAATATATTCTAAAAAAAAGCGTATGTTTCATCTTCAAACAAAAATATATAAAAGGAGATTGAGATCCCATATTTAAAAAATAATAATAATAACGCTAAACACATAATTACATTCAAATTGTTTTTCAGTTATACATTTTTTTATCTATCTTATTACATATGACCTTGTCGTATTTATTACGCTCATATATTAGTTTTGCCACGTATACTTAATGATATGTAATTAAATATGTACAACGCAAACTTTTCCATAAAAATAAAAAATAAAATAAAACCCATTATTTTTTATGCTTAATATCTCACCTTTTTTATTATTAAAAAAAAAAGTGAGCCATCAAATGAACCAGAATTCAGAAACTTTTGTTTTTGTTTTTTGTTTTTCTTATAAAACTCACTCACTTCGTTCTCTCTTCAGAAACAAAAAGAAAAGTAAGAAACTGCAATCAACTGCTCCTTCCTAAAGTAATAGAGACACTCTTTCTGAGATATCAGTTATCACTAAGCACATTCCTCACTTTTTTTCTTTCTTCTCTTCATCTATCAATTGAATCTCTGATTCTGAGTCTCAGATCCTTCAAAAATGTTTGTGAAGAAGCTCGTCGAGAAAGCGTCCATAAAGAAGGTAACCCAATTCAATTTCCTTGTCTCTTTCTCTTTCTTTGCTTTCATCTTCTTTTTCTCTGTTTTCTCTTTCCTTCTTTGCCCTCAGCATCATTCATCAGTTATATATCACTTTGCTTCATTGCTGAAACAACCATGTGTTCTGCTATCGTCATCATTCATCAGTTATCGCTTTCTTTCGATTCTGAACTTCGATATTCAGTTTTTATTTTGTAAAGAAAGAAAAAAAAAACCTTCGATCTTAGCATTATAATAAAAAAACACAAAAATCGATGGATACTATGATTACTTAATATTATACACCTCCTGGATCTCTCCGCTTAATTTCTTTTTTATCCATGTGTAACGTATATTTTATTTCTCGTTAAATTCTATGACTCAGAGATTAATAATGATATAATTGATATGATCAACATATCCTTTTTACTGGGTTTCTCAAATATTTTCATAATTTCTTTCTTTTCATTTTTTTTTTAATGTGCTATTCAATTATTTTTATCTACATTTAAGTTAATTTGAAAGATATTCCATTTCTGGTTTGCGAAGAATCGGGATATACTTTTATATTGCGGAAGACTAGTGTCATTTCATACAGGTTCTTCTTATATAAAATAAAGGGATTAGTGTTTGTCATTTTAAATGACATAATTTTGTATTATTTTTAATGAAATTATGTCATTTTGGTATGTTTTATCATTTTCTCTAATTTATAAAATTAGAAATAAAAAGAAAATGGATGAGAGAGAATGTAAAAATTTACTAAAACGAGGTAGTTTCATTAAAAATGACGTAACTTTGTGTTATTTAAAATGAAAAATATTTTTTCCATAAAATAAATACTTATTCAAAAAATAAATAAATAAATAAATATTTTATGTACAATCCTATTTCTTTTTTCTCTATGTTTAATTTAATTTGTATGATATTCCATTTCTGGTTTGCAAAGAATCGGGATATACTTTTTAGGGATATATTTTTCTTATTTTGTAGGAAAAAAATTATCTTGTGTTGTAGAAATAAAAATATAAGTGAGACTCATAAGTAAGAGGAGAGAGAAAAAAGAGTGGTATGATTCAACCATTTTTGTGTGTGTAGAAGAGTTGTTTATCTCATGTAAAATGAGATGGATCTGGATCCTCTAATGTGAAAAATCACATGACTATGTCATGTGGGAAATCATAACCATACAAAGGTAGATCAATGGTGATAAAGGAGGAGAGAGAAAATATATTAAAATAGATAGTTACAAAATCATAACCGTTGATTTACTTTTGTATGGTTGTAATCTTCTCCCATGATCATGTCATATTTTTTTTTCACGTTAGAGGATCTATTTCCAAAATGAGATAAAGATAACCCTACTTTTTATTGCAGAATCTTTTTGGTCGGTTGAGTTATATAGTTCAAAATTTTGTCCTGCTTAGAAACAAATTATATATCAGAATGTAATAACCTATTTATTGATTAAATTAAACAACTTAAAAAATGCTAATTTGTTGCCACAGATACTTGTATAATTATTTTTTATATATTAAATTTGAGAATAATGAGTTTTCAGAATAGCAAAATATAATTTTAGGACCTCAATTTATTTTGCAATTGACAACCAAATATGATAACTTAAAGTAATTTTTCTTTATACAAGGGCGGCAATGAAATCTGAACCATCATGCAAACTACACAAATCCCTTGCCACTGAATCAGTCCTATGCCTTCATAATTTAAAGTAATTTTAAAGTGGTATGCGACAGCACTTCATATATCCTAGCATATATTAATGACCCTGTACATTGTTATACCTGATTGAAGAATTAACCTGCTAATTTTGTGCCTACTACAACCAGTGAAATGTGTTGGGATTGTGCTCATTGCTCCTACAAAATGAGGACTGTGGCTTTTTTTATTAAAAAATTAGCAAATTGTTTTTCTAAGTTTTTTTTTTTTTTAGGAAGATGTTTTGCATTTCCTTGGAAATGGATATGGGACACAGAGTAAACTATTAAGTGAATTAACTATTTAATGCAGAGAGAGAGAGAGAGAGAGAGAGGGAAAAAAGAAAAAGATACATTATCTAGTTTGAAGCAATTTACGTTATGGTCGGTGGTATTTTAAATGAGAAGATCTTTACGTGTTCCGATTCTATCGTGGGGTGGACCCACGTTGAATGCGTTAATGTTGGTCCAAGTTAGTTAGACCACTAGAATCCTAGGCCCGAGGGTGCAGGGTATATTATTTACATACCCTGTAATTATTGTCTTATGCTAAATTAAACAATCATTTGATGAAATTGTTTTTAAAATGAATAATTAAAAGAATTTTTACATATCAATTTTATTAAAATAAAATTGCGATATATTGAATATATTTTTATTAGTTGAAGCTCTCTTTAAAATGATGTTATTCTCTGTGTTGCGGTCACCCACGATTGCGATATGAAATTATCCGAATGCTTCATTAAACGAGTGTTTTATGAACACACTCGAGCTAAATAAAATGTCAGAGTTGAAACATGATGAAAAGTAAGAAGTTTTCAAGGTATTGTCACTTTACACGTGTACCTTTTCAAATACCTGTCTTTCCCTTGTTAATAGAAGTAGGTGTTCACTGTTCTTGCTTCTTAGTTTGAGTTTGAATTACACTGAAAAGATTTGCATAGCACTTTTGCAAAGATGACACGAACAAATAAAATAATCCAAAAATTTTAGCTGATTTTATCTCTTATAGTAAAATAATATGCAAATAAAATTAAATATTTTTTAGATCCTTAACAAATATTAGTTCTTTCTGAAGGACTAACCTGAAACTTCTTTAAACGTTAGAAGTATCATGATTTCGACTAATTAAATCTGTTTTGAATTTTAGAGGACCACAAATCGACTTTTTTTTACAAGGATTAAAATGGATTCCATAATTTTTATTGAGAACTCAACGAAAACTTTACTCTACGTTATGAAAACCAGCCACAGTCTTGTCTTGTCAGGTAACACTGCTGCAGCTAGAAAATTGAACATTGAATTTGTGAATTTCCATGCAGCCTGGTGGAAATTCATCAGATGGGTTAAAAGCTAGTGATGTAGATCCACGCTTGGTATTTCATCAAGGGGTACCATCGGGTGGTGCCAAGTTCGCCTATGACACCATTCAAAAAATTCTAGCGCTTTCTACAAAGTATGTTCCCCTTGCCATTTCTTGAGTTTTTTTATTAGCTACACGCCTACACTGTGTTAAACTGTTCAATAATTGAAAAAATTGCCGTTACACTTACAGTATCATGAAGGAGTATATTACTCTCACTTGTTGTTACTTCCTTATCAATTTTGTGTTGTACTTTATCCTATCTAAGTGGGACATGCCATTTGAACATTTTAAGGTTATTGAATTGGATTAGTTCTCATATGCTTGAAACTGATTTTTGTTGAGATTTTTAAAAAAGGGATGGCCGGATTAAACTATATGGAAAAGATAATGCACAAGCAGTGCTTGAATCTAGTGAGCCCCTTCCTAGCAAGTTTTTACAGGTTATGTGTTCCTTTCCTTTTTATGACCAATTGTGCATTATCCATGCAAATGGGCCAATTTCCCTCTTGCTGTTGTGAAAAATGATCCTTTTTAAGGAATATTAAGTATGCATCCGTACTAACAATACTATGATATTTAATGCATGCAGTTCGTCCAAAACCAAGGCATCCTTATAAATGTCACTTCCAATAACCATATTGAGGCAAGTATATACCTATGGACTTGCTCGCATTTATAATATTTTTTTTGTTACTGTTGGTTGATTATTATTATTATTATTAATAATGGTGTAATGTGTCAATATGTTTTTATTATCATGTTTAAGCAGAGTTATTCAGAAAATTGCTTGTCCTAAAGAAATTTCACATTTAGGTTTGGGACATGGACAAGAAACTGTTATCAGACGTGTACATTGCTAAAGAAGAAATCACTTGCTTTACAGTCATTCAACATACCCTTTATATGTAAGTAATATGTCTAGTTCAGAAAAAGCTATCAAGAAATTTGTTTCTGAATGAGCTCCAAAAGTTATGAGCATGTGTCTGCATTGGCAGGTATATTGGACATTCTAATGGTAGTATTTCAGTTTTGAAGCTTGATCAAGAACCATGGCATATGGTTCAGATGAAATACACCATACCCCTCTCAGCTTCCTATGGTGAGATGCATATTTTAGTTCTTCTCATTTTTTTTTCTCCCTTTTCTTTTCACATGTTCCTTGTAATTTAAGCATATGGATTTGAAAAAAATAGTACACAGTGATGATTATATCTTATGTTGGTATTTAGTTTGATCGGTAGCTAAAGTAAAACTCGTCAGCACTGTTTAGGATGAATGATATCCTCTTTTCATGTCTTTTTTTTCTGCTTTAAGGTAGATTTCATACTTAAGGATTGCTTGTGGCAGATTAATTCTAGGCATGATCTTTAGAGAATTGTAAATAATTTCATTGACTCAGTTCTCTTTGGCATATGAAGAACCAAGATGAAGGAAAAATGACCTCATCACCCAGGATGTTAACATCCAAAATTTTGTTTCTTATATTTAGGCATGTGTTTGGAACATATGATAAATTGCTCTTTTCAAGGGTAAGACTGTGTATATAAGGATTTCCCTCACCCCATCCTCGCTAGTGGGATTTAATGGGGAGTGGTGATATCTTATTACTCAAAATAGAAACCGTACAAGAAGTGCAAGTGAGCTATCATTTGTTTGTTATTGTTATTATATTTATGAGAGTTCATGCTTGTCCTTAGAGTTCCCCCCCCCCCCCCCCTCTTTCTCTCTCCCTAATTTCACTCTTAAAGTATCATCTTGTCATTTTAAATTCCTTAATCTTCTTTATTTAGGGAATTCTGAAGTGTCTGATGATACTGTTGTGATGCATATACTGCCTCAACCAGCAGCTGAAAGTAAGAGGTGATCTCCACTAACACAACCATCCCATAGGATGTTTTTATATAACTAATTTGGTTCCATCTTTTTCTTGATCATTTTTTTGTAAATTCAAACTTACGTTCTCTTGTGTATTCCAATGCAGGGTTCTCATAATCTTTAGAAATGGCCAAATAATATTATGGGATATTAGGGAAAGCAGATCTATTTTCAGAACTGGTGGAAATATGTCGCAACCATTGTATAATGAAACAAAGAAAGTGACTTCTGCATGTTGGGCATGTCCTTTTGGAAGTAAAGTGGTTTTGGGGTACAACAATGGAGAACTCTTCATTTGGAGCATCCCTTCTCTAAATATAGGAAATGGTTCAGCATCTGATCATGGTAGCCAAAACACTCCTTTGCTCAAACTTAACTTGGGATATAAGTCAGACAAAATTTCCATAGGATCAATAAAATGGGTTTATGCTGAAGGAAAGGCTAGTCGACTATATGCCATGGGAGCTTCTGACTATGCAACTTCAAACTTGTTGCAGGTATTTGAATGTTTTGCTTAATTCATTTAACAAAATATCTTGTTCTAGGACATTCATTTGAACATTTCTATATCTATATCTTCCTTTATAATGAGCTATTCCTGAATGATAGTCTTTTCCTACAAGAAATAAAGCTAGAATTCAAGTTCACCTGTTACCATTTACATGAACTTGTGATTTTGAGAAGGTTTACTGTGTGCTTACTTGGTTCAATGAGCTTGAGCTAGTTATAAAGAGATATATAAAAACCACTAATGTAACCTCACCCACCAGCTTAAGTTTTTGGGTTGAATTGATTCTTTACATGGTATCAAAGTCGGCATCACGGGTTCAATCCTCACAACCCCTCATTTAATTATTAATTAATTAAGTCTTGTGGAGTTTCTTAGCGCAGGTAGGTTGGGCCTAATGCACCATCCACCCTTTAAGCCCAATGGGCTCTTGTGTGAGGGGGCGTGTTAGAGATATATAAAACCATTAATGTAGTCTCACCCATCAGCTTAAGTTTTTGGGTTGAATTGATTCTTTACATATAATTGGCTAGTTTAATTAACATCTACATCTTCTTCTTTTTCACTGTATCAGCTTTCTCATTTAGCTAAATGAAATGCAAAAGTAATATGCCTCAGTCTTTTCTGGTAACTCTATATTTATGTTAGATCTTGATTGCAACTAGTTCATCCTCATTTTATGTGATTATATGAGGCAGGTAGTGTTGTTGAATGAGCAAACAGAATCTCGCACGATTAAGTTGGGACTTCATTTGTCTGAATGTTGTATGGACATGGAGATCATATCAACTACAACTGAGCAAAGCAAGCAGAAACAAGAATCTTTGCTTTTGCTTGGGAAGTCAGGCCATGTATATCTATATGATGATTGTTTGATTGAAAGGTATCTGCTCCAATGCCAATCTAAGTCCACACCCTCCCTTCCAAAGGAAGTGATTGTGAAATTACCACTGGCAGATTCTAGCATCACTACATCAAAATTCATCTCCAACAATCCCAATGTGTTAAATTCTGAAGATGAGGTAATAGGGTTATAAAACTATAATTTTACTCTATCATATTCATTCTGTTTGCAATCTATCTCTTCTATATATAAATGTATTTATTTGGCAATTTTTTTTCTTTGGTCACATAGTATTACAGAGAGTTGGTCAAAAAGTATCCACTTTTTATTCCAGTTGAAACAAATCAAAAAGATGGGATTAGCTTGATTTCTGCAAAATTTACGGGATTCTCAAAAGTTCAAAACTTGTACATAACTGGACACAGCAATGGAGCCATAAACTTCTGGGATGCTTCATGTCCCTTTTTCATCCCAATTTTGCAATTAAAGCAACAGGTAATGTTTTTATCTGACAATTCCTGTGCTCTCAAGTTCTCTAAATTGTTTGAAAAGAAATTATTAGTGTGTACCCAAATGTTTTTCTATCCTCCACTTTTGATTATGTACTCAAATACTCAAATTGCCACAAAATGGGTGCATGGCTCTTTTTGTCTTATCTTTCATTCAAAAAGATAAGAATATTTCATAGTTTCAGAAAGGAAGCTACTTTCATGTATGTAAAACATCAGTCAACTTATATGCCTAGCTAATAAAAGTTCTTCATTATATTGGCTAATCAAGGCAATAATTTGTATTGAAGTCCCACTCAACTAAGTAGTGGATTGATGAAGACATTTATAAATGTGTGAGTGCATATAACAAGAAAGATTTTGAGTTGCCAAGTATGTTATATATTGAGTCATTATTAACTTTAGGCAGTTATTTTCTTTTCCATGTATTCAAACATTTTAGATAGCATTTACTTTCTCTTAATGAGTTTTTTATTTTTTGTTTCCTTGATCATTTTTTTATACAAATTTGTTTCCTTGATCCTAATGCAGAGTGAAAATGACTTCTCATTAAGTGGTATACCTTTGACGACGTTATACTTTAATATCAACTCTTCTCTTCTTGTTTCTGGTGACCAGAGTGGAACGGTGAGGTTCCTTCAATTTTGAATTTGGTAAAACATGTTAATTTCCTTGTCTTTCTCTTTCTCTCTCTTTTTTTTAATTCTCACCTTGTTTTCACACTTATAATATGTCTGACATGAACATTATTTACAGGTTCGCATCTTTAGATTCAAATCTGAACCATATGCCACCAACAGCTTCATGTCTCTTACTGGTATCACAAAGCACATGACTTGTGCTTAGTTATCAAAAAGCTAGCATACTTCATATTTTAATTAATAGTGACTTCCATTTCCATTCCTCTTTTGCAGGAGGTACAAAGAAAGGGACTGATCATATAATCCAAAGTTTGAAACTTGTAAAGATTAATGGTGCCATACTTTCTTTGAATATAGATCACAGCTCAATGCATCTTGCTGTTGGTTCTGATCAAGGACATGTGAGATAATGTTGTAGCTTTTTATTTTAATTTGGAAATGTGTTTTATCTTACTATCCCAAGTATACATCGAAATGAATTTGAGGTCTAAAAGCTTAGTTTTAAAGAAAATATATTGGTTTTGGAGTTATATTAGAAGTCATCAATATATGGGCCAGAAGGTAAATATTTTGGTCTCTGAAACATGGTTTTCTCACAAGCATTGCTTTGAGACCAAACCATTAGGTACTGATGCTACTAGGCCCTCCCTACAAATACCAAGGATCACTTGAATTCTGTAACTTCCATTGAGCATATTAACACAATGTAAAGAAAATCATGCCAGACCCGCGATTCAACCGGAAATCGGACTACCAAATCATGATGACAACCACAAAGCCATTTGTATATATTGTCATTTCGTTCCAATATTTTCATAAAAAATCAATTGATGCAGTTCAACCGTGACCCGCCGGTTGAACTAGTGATCCATTAACCCAATATCTCGATCGAGTCGATGAATAATCCGAGTTTAATAACATTGCATTAACAAATAATAAGGATCATTTAGCATAAAAAAAGAGCATTTTGTGTCACTACTTTAAGCAACTTTCTAGTGGATTTTGTAGGACTTGGAAAGCCTGAGATTTACATTCTATCCCTCTGATTATACGTTTGGGTGATAATTTCTGATCATATTGTTACTTCAGCTTTGATTAATGATTTATCAGATATTGTGCGTAGAGCTAGAATATGTTCCTTGTGGTCTGAGGTTATAGTTGTTTATTTCCTTTGCTAAATAACTTGTGTAGTAATGTATGTTAATCCATTGTGCTGCAGGTTTCAGTTTTTAACTTAGATGGCCCAACTTTGTTATATCAGAAACATATCACAAGTGAAATTTCTGCCGGTATCATCTCTCTGCAGTTCCTAACCTGCAGTATGCATGGTTTTGAGAAAAACCTTTTAGCAGTGGGAACAAAAGATTCATCTGTTCTGGCACTTGATAATGAAACTGGAAACATGCTGAGCGCAGGAACTGTTCATCCTAAGAAGCCCTCTAGAGCTCTACTTATGCAGGTGTTGGGTAAGAGTTTGCAAAGTTAGCACAATGATCCGGTGTCAAAAAATTGTGCATATAATTGGTCCAAATGCTTAATCTGTTTAGGATCAATAGTTCAATACAATTTTTTGATAGATGTGAAGGAAATGATTGAAAAGAGTAAAAATAATTCTATTATGATACACAGATGGACAAGGTGCACCAATCACAGGATCCGTTACAAAAGATGGATTAGACTCCAGTGAAGGGAATCATAATGATGATGCAACAATAAAGCAATTGTACATTCTGCTTTGTTCTGAGAAGGCCTTATATGTCTATTCATTAGTGCATGCTCTTCAGGTAATGCATGATTTACTTCTAGACATAATCAGGAGTCATGAATTACGAGAACATTGCTTGGTTCTTGCAATGACACTTTTTCTTATGTTTCAGGGACTTAAAAAGGTGCTTCACAAAAAGAAGTTTCATTCCTCTTCCTGTTGCTTTGCATCAATATTTTACGGCCCCTCTGATATTGGCCTTGTACTCCTTTTCAGTAGCGGAAAAGTAGAATTAAGGTGGGGCTTTTTTCTTAGTCTGCAAATATCGTTACAACATAATTTGGTGGTGTATAACATATGAGAAGACTTACGAACATTTTGGTGTTAAAATAATGACTCGATCCCGATTCTGAGGATAGCTTTTTCAGTGACAAAAAATAAGAAAAAATATATCATTGTTGGTTATGTAAGTTAATCTCCCACTATCTGCTGGCATAATTCTAGTGTGCTTTACTAGTCAAACATGCAAAATGCATTTCATATCAAGTATAGAGGATGAAATAAATTTTATTTGAAATTTATATTATTTCCATTTGTCTTAATGAAAACCAGAACTTCAATTATTTTTAGTTTTGTTAATTGCATGTCAAGTACTTTCTTGTAATTTTTTATTTTTTATTTTTTTTGGTTATCATGAGTTAATACATAGACATCTATTTCAAATGATAGGTCTTTGCCAGAGTTATCCCTGGTTGTGGAGACTTCAATTAGAGGTTTCAGTTATTCACCTCCAAAATCGAAGTCATTTTCTGACAGCCAGATATGTTGTTCGTCCAGAGGAGATCTTGTTTTGGTATGAGCATATTTTTTATTAGTACAAAAAGCTTCTGTAGAAGTTTGATTTCAAATTAGCTCAACTTCCATTTACAGGTGAATGGTGACCAAGAAATTTTTGTTGTCTCATTGTTGGTTCAAAGGAATATTTTCAGGTATATAACTATATATAATATATGGCTAGAGAATGGCTTTGTGAATCTTGTCATCAATCTCTTGCTATAAAAAATTCAGTTTGGCTAATGAAAATAATATTCCTCACAGGGAAAGAGATCTAGAGCCTTATTTTTTTGTTTTTCTTGATGAACTTGCTGCTGAAAATGAAAAGTGGTAGTAATAATCAGGATTAGTAGCCTTGTTTTTACATTTTTCTTGATTTCAATTTAGGCTTTTGGACTCTGTTAGCTGCATCTACAGTAAAGAAATGATGCTTTCCCGAGAAGAGCTTGTTCCTGGCCCAGTGATTCATAAGGAAAAGAAAAAGGTACACAGTAGTTTTTAATCCGTTTAAACTATATTCGTTATCTTTGTGACAAAAAGTATTTGATCTTGTTTTTTGGCTTCTCAGGGTATATTCAGCTCTGTCATCAAAGATATAACTGGTAGTAAGGAAAAGCATGTGCCCCTCATGGAAACAGAAGATTCTAAAGAAATTATCCAGGAACTCTCAGTACTCTTTTCAAATGAAAATTTTCCATGTGATGCGGATAACAATGATAACCTGAATGTTGATGAAGATGAGCTTGAATTAAACATAGGTATGAAAGAGCCTTAGATATGGGCTAGTAGGTTACTGATTACTACTTAGCCTTCAGGGAAGACACTTAAAATTTGTCATTTGTGCTAATGAATTTATGGTATGTTCTCATTGGTGGCCTAACTCTGCTAGTCAGAAAGCACAAAATAAAGCATGACTCCTTCGGAATATGGCAGTTTCTTCTGGTTTTCCATATCTTAAGTGGGCTTCTATCTGTATATATTGTATTTTCTATCATATGGATAATTATGTTTGAGATAACCAATTTGAGGTGTTCTCCTTTCCTCCTGTGCAGATGACATTGACATAGACGATCATGAAGAAAAACGCAAAGAACAAAGTATACTGGGAGCTCTTAATAAGAAGAAATTGGCTGGAAAATTTCAGGCTCTAAAAGGTTAGTGAATATGGTTCAATAGCAGTGCATAATTTCTACAACATCCTACAAACTACCCAAACCCATTACAACTAGCAGTCTAGCACATTTCTAGTGCCTTGCATAGAGATATAGTAGCTTGTGAGCATATGGGAACATTAAACTGTCTGTATCAGAGCGCTTAGGCCAAAAACTATAATTGTTAGTCAGATTTCAATTCTTTTACTTACTCTTACCAATCTAAGCGTTATGATTTAATTTGACTTCGACCCATATTGGGCCTAGCCAAGACAGGATGTTGGGTTCGTCAACACATTAAACTTAGCATTTTAAGAACATTTGATCTCCTAACTGCCATGCCATCTAAATAGACTGAAGATGATCAAAGTGTTTTCCCTAAATGCTAGCTAAATTAGTTGAGCATCCAATATGCAGGAAGATTGAAAGAGATGAAGGGAAACATCCAGAAAACATCAGGCAAGGAAGAGCAACAAGATGAGCAAGCTGGTTCAGTTGATCAAATTAAGAAGAAATATGGGTTTTCTTCTTCCTCCAATGTAAGTATACATCCAGATTCCAGAGTATGCATCTCTATCATGCTTGAATTACATTCGGTTATATAACATTTCACCAGAATAGAATGTTACCTTGGACAATAACTTACAGTTCTTATCTGAAGTGTTTATCATGTCAAAGTAGTTTCAGTGTTAATATTGATCATTATCAAAGAAGCTTGAGTCTAAAAAAATTTATCTGCTTGTTTGAGCTTTTCAATCAGCATGGAAGTTGTCTCATTCAACTTATTAATGATGGGTCCAATGACCTTGTAGATTTCCAAGAAACTGATAGAAAGTATCAAATGATAATTAAACAGAATTAGCATACCACACAATAGTAGTAATTATGTATAATTTTGCATTTATTAAAAATTACAATATTTTGTTACTTTGTTCTGAAATTTGGTGGAATCATACTTCAATCATGAATCTGGCGTGCAGGAAACAAGCGCTGCTAAATTGGCAGAAAGCAAGCTGCATGAGAACATGCAAAAATTGCAGGTATATTTTTTGTTGATAAAACACTGTTTTAGTATTTTTTTTATTTATTTTTTTGGTTACATGAGTTTTAGTATTTTGTTGCCTAAACAACTATATGAAAAAATATATATACACATTGAGTTTGTTTGTTACATACTTACATATCTTTTTTCTGATTTGGCAGGGTATCAACGTACGAACTACAGAAATGCAAGATAAAGCAAAATCATTTTCATCATTGGCAAACCAAGTGCTGCGAACTGCTGAACAGGATAGACGAAGTTGATAAGCGCTTTAAACTCATTGACTAGACTTCAGTTTATAAAGTATTTTACCTTCTTCTTTTTTGTAAGATATGAATTTTTTTTGATATTTTGTATTTAAGCTTATGCTTTCTTTCTTTTTTGTATTTATATTTTGTTTTATACTGAGATGTTGCACTATTGCTATAGTTTTGGATTGATATTGAGTGTTCTTATGACCCAAATCAAGTATTTGTAGATTCAGATCAGTTTCTTTGCAATTTATTTTACTTGCATCATGAATCGGATTGCTATAATTCTGTGAAAGGTGAAGGAAAAAATTGCAGAGGAAAAGAGAGCAAGAATACTAATCAAGCATGTTTTTTTGTTTGGATATATTGTTAATATAATTCAAATAATATGTTATTACATTACATACAAGTGAAAATATAATTATTTAGGTCTATATGGACCTGAGGTCAATAGCTTGAATATTAATTTTAGGAATTTCAAAATTGGTGTATCTGATGTAATACTTCAAGCAGCCAAAACACTATTCTCTCAAACCCATACACTCCAACAATCTAAAAGTGTTATATTCGTGTAATGGATTTGAACAGAAAGGTGTCTACTTGAATATCTCGTTGAGAGGAACTCGCAAGTGTAATTTTTCTTTCAACTTGACTGAGATTGGTCGAGATCTGAGTTTGAAGATTTGGTGGCTGAAATCTTTGATTCAAAATCCCTGAAATTATAACCACTTTCAAAGGGGTGAAACCACTTGGATCTTGTTTTACTTCTTGATATGAACATTTTGTGGTCACTAGGGTAAAACGAAGATTGAACGAGGAAGATATGGTCGTCAGAAGTTTCGTTATCATGGGTATTTTTTGCACAATTTTTCGAGTATTTTTATTGGCCAATTTCCGACAAGGTTTCAGCGACGAGGTAAGTCCATCAAAATGTTTTTGGGTGCTCTGGATCCAATTTTAGGGTTTGTTTTGGAAAATTCCACTTCTACATAGCAGTTTGATAAAGGTTAGGGGGCTTTATTTGATTTTCTTAATTCACTGCTTTTATTAAAATGGCTAAATATAATTTATATGATATTATGAAACTGCAATCATTTGATGTTTTACGTAGTTAGAAATTATTTATTTATTTTGGCATGAAGAAGGTGAAATATTCTATACTGTAGAGTGATATTGCATCTACCACTAAAAATGTTAACGAATATCAATGGAACAAATATAAAGATTTTTGTAAATATCTCATCTAACTGAGTAAAACGACAAAAGAGATATAGGATCACTTTGATGCTAAATTCTAACGTTTTTAATTTCAAATTCTCAATTGAGGTTTCAAGTCGTTCACGCCATTAAACAATAAAGAGATGCCATCATCAACAAAAAGGCTCCGTTATTACAACAAGAAACGAAGGGCTGATGCATTTCATCCAGAACAGCATTAAAACGTATCATACATAACATTGACTTTCAAGTACATGATCATGATAGGATTGTGCACCAACCTAAGACTAGAGAGTACAGGATAAGAATTCAGTAGTTAATAATCAGAATGAGCTGTGAATTGGGAAACATCTATCAAATTCTAAGCCAACCTATGCAAAACAATTGTCTCCCACTTTCACCTAAAGCTCCTTCACTCGTCATCCTCTTCCTCCTACAGAATAAAAACCAAACAATGCTCATCAAAACAAATCAATTTAGCAGAGACACAAAAAACAAAGTAAATGATTATATGAATCTACCTCATCCTCATCCTCATCATGGACTTCGGATTTTGATTTGTCAGACTCATCTTCTTCGGAAGGATTATTGCCCTCCTAATACGAAAAAAATAAAACCTAAATAAATTACAATATAAAAAAAATTATGCAAGCAAGGATAAGGTTCAAAATGAGTAGTCACCAATTTCCTATTGTAGGCTAGAATACTCCTATCGTACTCTTCTTTCTTCTTCTCTGCCTTGGCAACATAGGGAGCTTTCTCCTAAAAGATTAATTAAAGTGCAAATTAGATCACACAAATCACATTATGATAACAATAGCGCCAAAACCAAACATCAATCCTTGAATTGAATACAAGGACGATGACGACGACAACAATAATAACAATTCCTTTATGAGAAAATTAGAGAGATAGATACTCACAGCATCGGACATCGATTTCCATTTGTCACCGCTAGCTTTACCGACCTAATTGATTTTTCACAGTAAATAAAGAATAAGAAATCAAAAAAGAGAGAAAAAAATAGCATTGAAATTTAAAAAAAAAACGATATAAAAAAATTATCACTCACAACGGAGACGGATTTGTTGTTCGGATGCTCCTTCTTGTACTGCTCTCTGAACTCAGCCCTGCAACAATCACGAATCGTTTATCGTCACAAACTAACTAAGAAATGACAATCAAAACGAAAACAGATTCGAAAAGGTTCAATCGAAGAACAACAAAAAAATGCATACATGAAAACAAAGAAAGCACTTGGAGGCCTCTTAGGCTTGTTCGGATCCTTAGCAGCTTTCTTCGACTGCTTCCTCCCGGTTCCAGCACCCTTGCGCTTCAACCTAATCAACGAATCACAACAAAATCCAAAACAATAAACAACCACAACAAAACAAACAACACGGAATACGAAACGCAGAATGCAAGATCGGACGAATCAGATCTCAAACCCTAAAATTAAAAATTAAAAATTAAAATAAAATAAAATAAAATAAAAAAACGCATGACAGATTAAAAGAAAATACCGGCTGTCGGCAACTACTGCATCAGCTTTGGCCTTAGGCATGGTGATTCCGCAGAGAATCGACGAAGACGAGTTGCGAAACCGTGAGGACTCGGTCCGAGTCAGAGATTCCGAGTCGCCGAAGCAAGTAGGGTTTTCTGAAAAGCGCAAAGAGAAAGAACGAGAGAGCGTGGTTTAAGCGAGAGAGCGTGTTGCGTTGTGATGTGTGCTTTGGGCGCGAGAGGGATAAGAAGGAAAGGGAAGAGGGGCAGTGTACAGAAAACGCAAATAAAAATTAAATCGCGAAATAAATAAAAAACTTGAAGTTTGGGTTTACGCGGGATTTTGAAAATGTTTTGCTACATCATCGATCCGTGTGCTCTGAAGCTATTGGCTGTGGCCCTTGCTTTGGAATGGCTTGTGTTTTCTTTGTGTGTGTGTTTTGAAGGAGCATTGAATAACTTCTAAAGAGTGAAAGCTGTGCGCATGCTTTGGATGTGAATGATGCGTGTGACTGATTGAACGGAATGACCGTCTTAACCTTTCACGTGCTAGGGATTTTACAAATATGCCATGGAACTAGAATGAGCACGTCATGCGAAGTTGGCGAGGAGATATTTTATGACTCTGAGGGTTAAATTGTAAATTCACTATTTCTGATATTCTTAGTATGATTTGATTTTTTTGTGGATCAATGTTTGCTGCTGGATCCATTTTGGGCTTTATGTCATCATGTGATGTCCAAGAACCCAAACCTTAAAAAAAATGAAATGTGGTATTGGTTGTGTAGCAGCTTACTATTAAACAAAATGTCCTAAAAAAATTGAAATAATAATTTTTTACGTGGCCTTAATCCTTAATCCTTTTCATCATATGCTAGTGTTTTTTCATATTAAAAGAATAAGAGGGACGTTATAAAATCGAAACCAAAGGAATAGAATAAAGTTCAATTATATTCTTCTAAAAATATTAATCACGAAGGATGGTAGATTTTCCTTATTTTTATATTCTTTTATTCCACCTATTTTTAAAAGAATAAAAATTATGTATTTAAGTGAAAATAATAATTGAAAAAATCACTGAGTCAAAAAAAAAATAAGCTTCAGCACAAAATAACTCAATGGGTGCAGCTCAGTTGGTAACTTGGCGCTGAGTTAGTGGGGTTGGATATGTGTTCGATTTCCGCTGAATGCATTCTTGGGGAGGGGGCTGAACCTTTAGCCATCACTGTTCCCCACACTCCGGATTAGTCTCATAGCCGGCTCAAAGAGTCGAAGCTCGTGAGGATACCGGAGGGAGCCAACTCATCTCAAAGAGATAATTTGGGTTGGGTAACTCAAAAAAAAAAAACTTCAGCACAATCTAAATTAGCTGCATATACGAATTAATTACAACATATAATACAAAAGTTAAAAATAAAGTAAATAGATAAAGTGAAATAATAAATTAAAAAAATAACACGCACATACATGCACGCACACATACAACGAGGATCTTTCAACTTCCATATAAAACTAAGAAGTTTTATTCCTTATCTCAAGTCTTTGATCTTTATGCATATGATGATTATAGTTTAATGTATTATATTTATTAATTAACTATTAATCCCAAATAAGTTAAAGTCGTGTATGCATAGAGATTAATAATTAAAATAAACAGTAAGACTTGTTATTTTTACACTTGAGTTAAATGATCTTTTCATATTAATATATATATATATATAATATCAAAAGTAAAGAGAAAAATTAAATGAATGAATAAATTCAATACCAAACATGTTAAACTCCAAGATTTACATTCACCATCCAGACTTCAAAAAAAATTTAATGTAACTTCAGTCAAAAAACTCAGTAAAAGATATCAAGTATCACCCTTTGTGGATAAATCACTCGTGGGCAAACAAATTTTCCGTACAAAGAGAGTGTGAATAATTGTTTTTCGATGTAAAATAAAATAAATGATGTAGTTTTACAAGTGTCTATTTGGGAGGTCTTTTTTTAGATTTTCTTTTCTTTATAAGTAGAAACTAGGCCAAACTGATTTTTACAAAAGTTTTTATAATAAAAAGATCTTTTTTTATAATAAAGAAAAAAGTCAAAAGCCAAAAGTTCCTATGAGAAACTAATTATTTTCCGATAAAACATAAAATAAAGAATATAGTTTTACTAAGATGGGGCATAGATAAGAATTTGAACATAAATACTATTGTTTTGCAAAATTCTTACAGATTGAAATATATTTTAGAAGCATAATGATTATGAGAATTGGATAAATTTTGAGTTTGATTATCATCTCACACTAGAAAAATTCTTTACTAAATAAGTATATGTATGGGCTGCCTGGCTAAATTAAAATAATTCATTTATTATGAGAAGAAATTCAAACATAATAGCCACCTAAGAAAAAATTATATTGAAACTTAATTTGCATATTATGATATTGGTATTTAATCTTAAAATTATGTAAAAATCTAAGTCTTCTTAAACCTTTAGTTTAAATATGAGGTTGTGTTTTTTTTTATAGGAAATAAAAATGGTAACATTTAATTAATAATAAAGTTAGACTAGAGGATGTGAGTTAGAAGTTAACCCACATCTATATAAGTAAGATTGTTAGACTTCATAGGGTGCGAGAGAGCATTGTCAAGAACAGGGACCCAAAGTTTACATCTTGATTTTTGGGAGCTCTGCAAGATGTCTTTGGTACCGAGTTGAGACTCAGAATCACTTATCATCCTCAGTTAGATGGTCAGACTGAGCAGACTATCCAAACCCGGGAGGATATACTGACATTGGTGGAGTTTTCATATAATAACAACTTTCATTCTAATTTGGGCATGACACCTTATGAGATCTTGTATGGCAGAAGGTGTAGGACTCCTACATGTTGGATAAAGGTTGGGGAGAAAGCAAATGTTTGTCCCTGACATAGTTCGAGATACATCAGAGCAAATCAAGATGATCATAAAGAAGCTGGAGAAAGCTCAGAGAAGATCTATGATCATCACAAGCACCCCTTGAGTTTGATTAAAGGGAATATATCTTTGTAAGGTTATCATCGGTGACTGGTGTATGACATGCTCTAAGAGTGATGATGTTTATTGGACCTGCTACTCATATCCTCAGTTGGAGAATCTTAACGATGTATTCGATGTATCTCAGCCTTGAAGTTATATCCAAGCCCATCTCATATGGTGCAACCTGATGATGTTTAGATACAAGAAAACTTGAAGACTCATGTGAAGCCTGCAAGGGTTCTGGATAAGAAGGAGAAAAAGCTAAGGAATAATACCATTGTTATGGTCAAGGTTCAGTGGGAAGATACATCACCCTACGAAGCAACTGTAGAATAGGAAGATGAGCTTCTCTAGCAGTATCCTGGGGTGTTATATAGGTAATTCTTTCAATTTTGTTGTCAAAATTTTTAAAAGGATGGGTGAATATAATAAATTGGATAATTAAATTATAAAAATGGGAATTAATGTGTAATTAAAAGGCTAATTAGATGGAAAAACTAAATTTTGGAGCTAAGTCACTTTTCAGGACGAAAGTACAAATATTTAAATTTTGGGGTTAATTTGCAATTAGGAAAATTTTGGTAAGACCCTAAAGTTAACTATGTGTGATACACCTTATCTAAACCTGTTACGCCAAAAAATCCTAAGTTAAGAAATTTAAGTGAATGAGTGAATAGGAGGATAAAGGAAAACAGGTAAATTAGTCTTTGTCCATTTAAATACTTTGGCTTAAAAGTGAGACTCATACTCTCTCTCCTCACTTTCTTCTTTTCTTCCATTTCTCATTCCCTCCCCATCTTTATGGTCCTTCTTTCCCTAAGGCCCCAAAGAAATTTCTCTCCTTATTTTCCCTTTATATATGCGACCAATAAGCAAAGAGAGAGACATTCTTCTCCTTATTCTTCAAATTCACATAGCAACCCAATCCTTCTTCATAAAACCTATGCACCAAAAAGGAAAAATCATCCCTCTTGAACCCCCTCACAGGAACCTCTAGAATTTGAAGCAAGGAGGAAGATTTTGCTATTTGTGAAGCTTTAAAATCTCTTCTTCTTCTTTTTGGAGATCTTGTGAGGTAATGAATCATTGGCTTTCTTGGGTTTTGATAAGGTAAGGTTTCGTTAAATTGGGGGTTTTATGAACTATGGGTTGGATATTGAAATTGATTTTTAGTTTCTATGTGTTAGAACTTGTTAGGAATGTGGCTACCATACTCAAAAATAGGGTGAAATAAGTATTACGAACTTTTTGCAAAAGCCCCTTTCTAGTTTATAAATTATTATTTCAAGAAACGTTGATATATGAAAGGCTAATCAATAAATTCAAATAATCCATATCATATAATATAGCACAATTATAGAACCTATGTTATCGTATACAAAATATCAAAGAAGTAATTAAAGTGCTAGAAATAAAGAGTTTAAAGTTTAGAAAATTATAAACACTATATATCCTGGTTCGATCACCATCACTTGTGACCTACGTCAGACTGAAGCCGTTTGATCAAATCTTTCACTATCTATCAAGTTTTATGGGTGCTTGATGTAACACCCCGTATATATCCGGTAATGTTATCATACTATCGTATTAAGCCGCGCTTAATTAAAAATGCGGAATTTCTTTTTCTTTTCAATTATGAAGTCATTATCATTACCAATTTGCTTATTAATCAATTAATAAAACACCGCCTGTATGCAATTGCAATAAAACAGCTAACTGAAATACCTCAATATAAAATAACATAATGTATAGCTCTAGTCACGGAACTACAACACGTAGACCGGACCAACTAATAGTTTATACAACTCGACTCAAAAGTACTAACAGCATAGTGGCATGGACAACTCCCATGCTCACCCAAATAAGGGAACAAAGCCCAACATAAGTCTCAACTCAAAACATAAAGAGCAGAAAACATAAACAGCATCCAATCCAGTCATGTGAGCAATACAACATAAATATCAATATTAGCTAAGCTCTGGCCTCCTGCCGCCAGAGGCATCAGTCACCATACTACCTGAACCTGAAATAAGCATTCCCCAAACGTGGGGTGAGATCTCTAAACAAGAAACACAGCATGCATATAACCATACCCCCATGGGACATGGTGGAACCACAACATGGCTAAACCGAGGACACGAAAGCTTACCTTGCAAGCTAACACCCAAAGCCAAGAGTCCACAGCTCAAAGTCCAAACACAGCAGATTCACAATCTGTTATGGACCAATAATATATCAATAAACATGCACCGCAAGCATACAATATTAAGACAACGCCTTTCCATTACGTTTTACGTATTAAGGCTTCACACAAGCCATAAGCCCTTAATCACATGATTCTGACTTACATTAATTAAATACAGAAGTTCAACTTCCTCAAACTAGGGTC